GAATGTTTTGGTAGTTATGCAACCTGGTACTAGGCAGATGGTGGAAAATGGGCGGTAACTGGCACATCTCTCTCATAGTATATATGTGAAATTATGGATCATGAAAATTGTTCCTCTTTGGCTGATGTTGGAACGTGGTCATTCCGGGTTGCACTAATTTCAATCACTCTACTTTTATAACACCAAGCAAGTGTGAAATAAGTTTTTATTACAAATTTCTACTCTCATCTGTCCCACCAGCCTATTTCCCAAATTATTTTGAAAATGCGAACCAAGACTGTGAGCACAGTAAAACCCACATCTTGATAGTTGCAAAAATATCAATTACTCAAATCTAACACCAAACAAGGCTTTCAAATTTTACATTAACTTGTTTTTGTCATTAGATAATAGATTTCACCAGAACACAAAACAGAAGAAGGAATTAGGAGACAAAAGAATCACATACCGAAAGAAGAGCCACTCCAACAGGGCATAGCGCTCCATGCCAGCAAAAAGGAGGGATTGTGCCGGGGCATTGGCTCTTGGGTAATTTAGTGTTGCCAATTTCTTCTGAATCTCTTCCATTTGCCTTGATGCCATCTTCTAAATGAAAGATTTTTACTTCATCCTCCTTTTTTTACACTCTGTTTAGTGGTCAGTGAGTAGCTTCCGGGACTCTCTCAAAAATGAAAATTAAAGCAAAATCTGGAAAACATTATAATCAACACCTAAATTAGCACTCCTTCAAAATTCAAATAATACAGGATAGTCATCATTATTCATCAAGATCAATTAGCAGTGAATTATGAAGAAACAAATGCAAGATTAATGTTCCTTGAGAAATTAAAACATTTGGATGGAGAATGCAAATCGATGATCACCACCCCTATGTGTGATGAAGAAGCTAATTCGTTATTTTCATGTGTTATGGAGGTGTTTCCATGCTCAGGCATTTCGTCAAACACCCTGAATGCAGAAAATATAAGAACTCGGCAGAGCTTAAAGCAATCTATGAATAAGAAAAATTGATGAAGCATGAATCAAGTTACATACTAATTTTCTTTTTTAGTTAAAAAAAATCAGAAAAAGAGAGCAACCAGCTAGAACTAGATACCAAATCCAAACTAGAAGTTTGAATAGTTTGGATTTCCGAATTGAAACATAAACGTATGAAATGAGAATCGGAAACTCACCGGTTAGAAAGATGAAAAGCACGAGTGAGGAGATCGACGCAGATTTGAAATTCGTTTTCGTCAAATGTGTTCTTCTTTAGGCGGGGTTTAGAATAGATAACTCAGTTTTGGGCCCACGGTGTACTAATCTTTGAAATGTCAAAACTGTCCTCGCTCCTTTGGTTTCTTCTAAGTTAATTTAGTAATTATCTCTTTAACTAACTAATGACTAATGAGTCTCTCCCTTGTTTTCTTCTTTCTTTGTCATTTTCATTTAAATTTTACTAGATTAATCTTCTTTCTCTCGAGTCTTTTCACGTAAAAGATTTGATTTGAGAGGAAAAATTTTATTTTATTGGTATGATTTTAAATTGATATTTAAATGGCCTCTTCAGTTTTGTAAGAATACAAAGATTATTTTCCTTTACGTATTTATATGCACTAGCGACGTCACATGCACTGTGGTGCCTGTTCAGCCATTTTTCTATTAATTTTAAAAAATTAATTTTAATTTTTTTTAAAAAATGGTTCATCTTTTAATTTATTATTTGAATAATATTTATTATTTTAATATTGTCATTAATATTCTATTAGAAAAATATTCGTCGCTGCTACGTTCTTCTACTTTCTCTTCCTTCGTTGCTTTAAAAAAAAAAACAAATTGAACTTTTTAAAAAAAACAAAGTGAAATTCATTGAAAAATCAAAACAGATTTCGTTAAAAAAATAAATTGCATTTTGTTGGAAAATAGAATAGAATTTCTTCTCCTCCTCTTCTCCTTCATCTTCACCCTCTTTCTTCTTCTTCTTCTTTCATTTTCTCCTCCTCCTCAGTTTATTTTACTTCTTTCTCCTCCTCCATTTTCTCTTCTTCTTCTTCTTCTTCTTCTTCTTCACCGGTACGTTCTTTTTTTTTTTCTTATTCTTCTTCTTCTTCCGTCGCTGTTTTGTCAACAAAAATGAATCGGTATTTTAAGAAAAAACTAAATGAATTTTTTTAAAAAACAAACAGAATTTCATTAACAAAAATGAATTGCATTTCTTTGAAAAATAAAATTAAATTTCTTTGAAAATGAGAACATGATTTCTTCTTCTCATTTTCATCATCAACTCCTCCTCCTCCTCATTTTCTTTCGTCTTCATTGTGTTATTTGATAACAAAATAAAAGTCTTATACATTATTTAACATTTAGAATATATAGAAAAATCACCAAAAGAAATTTAGAATATATAGAATAAATAACTTTAAGTTAAATAAGATATGAAAAATTATTACATTTTTATAAATTAAAGATTTACAAATATTTTTATCAAATATATTATTTATAAATATTGTTAATTTTATTTATTTTCTTAGTCTTATTTAATTTGTAGTGACGATAAAAATTTATTTTCAAAACATTTTTTTTCGTGCATAAAGTTTGAATGATTAATTTTTATTTTTCACTTTTATAATTATTACATTGTAAACTATGTTAGCTAATTATTATTTTCTAATTTTTAATTTTTATGGCATCATCTTTATGTATTACAAAATCTCGTGTTCTCTATTCATTCTCTAGACATATATGTAGGCTTTTTTATTTATATGCGCATGAAAAATGCTTTAATTCCCAAAATACGCATGACACGTTTTAATTCTAAAATTGCGCACCACCAACTCACCGTCCCCACAGGAGAAATGGAATCCTTCTCCATTTCGCCGACGTCTTGGGTGAGATGGCCCCAACTCGCCGCCGCCAGGGGAGAAATGGCAGCTGTAAAAGCTGCTCCTCAACTCCTTCATGGCATAGGCGAAATGGACCAAAAAAGAAAAAATAAAATGAAGGAAAAAAAGAAAGAAAGTAATAACTTATGGTATTGCGTGGAGTTTTTTTTTTTTTTTTTTTTTTTAGTGTATGTTGATTGTTAATGTTGTTAACATGTAAAAATATTTATTTGTAGTATCGATAAAAGGGCTTCGTATATAGGCTTTTTTGTTTTGGGTAAATTTGTTATCAATGAAAGTAGAGAAAAAAAGCCACTATTTAAAAATAAAAAACGAAGAAAAATAGAATGTTCAAATAAAAATTAAACCGAACCACTTAAATCGTAACTCATCATAATTAATTGAAAAAGGACTTCGTACATAACACGTTGGTGGTTAATATCTTCTACAAGGGTAAGTATTCTAGTACAAACAGAATGACCATTGGCTTGCTGTAGGAGGAGGTGATCATATCTCCGCCGAGTTAAATTACGTCGTAGCATTCTCCAAGAGATTACCATGGTTGAGATATGACCACCTCCTTCTACAACAAGCCAATGATCATTCTGTTTGTACTAAAAAACTTACCTTTGTAGAAGATATTAACCACCAACGTATTATGTACGAAGTCCTTTTTCAATTAATTATGATGAGTTACGATTTAAGTGGTTCAGTTTAATTTTTATTTCAATATTCTATTTTTCTTCGTTTTTATTTTTTAAATAGTGATTTTTTTTCCTACTTTCATTCATAACAAATTTACCCAAAACAAAAAAGCCTACGCACAATGCCCTTTTATCGATACTACAAATAAATATTTTTACATGTTAACAACATTAACAATCAACATACACTAAAAAAAAATCTTCATGCAATATCATAAGTTATTATTTTCTTTCTTTTTTTCCTTCATTTTATTTTTTTTTTTTGGTCCATTTCGCCTATGCCATAAAGGAGTTGGGGAGTAGCTTTTACAGCTGCCATTTCTCCCCTGGCGGCGGCGAGTTGGGGCCATGTCCCCAAGACGGCGGCGATCCATTTCTCCTGTGAAAACGGTGAATTGATGGTGCGCAATTTTAAAATTAAAATATGCCATGCGCATTTTTAGGAATTAAAACATTTTTCATGCATATATAAATAAAAAAACCCATATATGTACGCATCATTTCCCCATGACCAAATTGATTTTCAGAACATATGTTATTGCGAATGATTCTTTTGTGCCTTGTTTCTCAAATATATGGTTGGAGAAAATGAATAATAGAAATAGATCCAATGTCTCTTATTTTATCATATTTATTTTTAAAAGTTTGACTCAATCACTCAATTTTATTTGTTATTAATTTTTTTTATAAACATTGATCAAAATTATTATGTTTTATATTTTTGGTATTACATAATCATTTATATGTTTTCTTTTTTCACAACTTATATATTCATTTTACAATAATTCTAAGTATACACCTATTTTATCAATCAAGTCTAACCAAATCATTTGTTTCTATTACAAATAAAAAAAATTTTAATGTCAAATAGAAGATTATTCATGTATAATTTTTAATATTATTTGATATTAAAATGATTTTTTATTTGATATAAAAATTAATAATTTGGTTGGACTTGATTGATCAAAATAAATATACATTTAGCATTATAGTTTTTTATTGGGTCAAGAAGTTATATGTTTTCTATTTTCTCATATACATATTATTTTTATTGTTTTCTCAGTTTGGATTGGCTTTTAAAAAAAAAATTTCTCCTGATATATTTAAAAATATTTTTTATTAATAAAAGCTTTTGTTTCTTTTGTTTTTTTTTTTTAAAAGTAACATATTGTTGGCTTCTTAAAAAAATACATAATTTGCTTTATTTAAATAAAAGTACTTTTTTATAAATGTATCTAAATGATTCAAATTTGTTGAAAATATATTTTTTAAAACAAAAAATACTTTTTCTTTAAAATCCAAAGCAACAATTTAACAAAACAAAAGCAGGTCCAGGAAACAGAAAAAAAGAAAAAGAGCAGAATTGGGCATCTGGCCAATTATAATACCAAAAAAAAAAAAAAGACAAAAAAGAATGAGAAAATTTAAAAAACACTTCTGTTGCCGGGACTTAAACCCGGGTGAGAGCCGAGTATCCTAACCAACTAGACTACAACGGATTGTTGTTCTAAGCTTGCAACTAAAGCAATAACAATTCAGGTAATGGTAATGAATATGAGGTGATTAAATTTTACGATAAATCTTGCACCAATTGCTTGAAGAAGATGCTGAAGATGGAAAATGACTAAACTGGAGTAAAAACATGAGAAAATATTGCGAAAGCAAATGGCATAATGAATTAAATAATACTTATCAACCATGGTGTGATTTTCAACGTGTTGGTTTGGTAGTTGCATAGTTTCATGTGCTCACCAAGACAAGTGCTATGCATCATGAGTGGTCCTCAAATTCAAAGTTGTTGATGGTGGTTGAGATTTCATGTGGATTATATGCAAATCATCCACACTATTTAATGAATTTATCAAATAGTAGCTATAAGAAGCCAAATGACCATGATGGTTTTTCCTAGCAATGATTGAATACTGATGGCGTCTGATTATAGTCTTCAAAACCAAGAAGCAATGGTAGAAATACCTCTTTAACATCCGCCTCTCTCTTTAGATAGAGGGAAAAAAAAAAGGTCAAAAACTAACTTAAAAATGATCTCTAAGCACGCCTCTAATTCTATGGTTAACATGGTTCTAAAAAGTTGAAGTGAGTCGGCCGATTCGACCGAATTAAGCAGAAACCCCGGTTGGATTCTATGAAAAAAACATGTTTGCATTGAAATGTGGAAAAAAACCATAGCAAACCATTGAACTAGCCGAAAATTGTTATGCAACTATCCAATTTTATGATTTTGTATGCATCCCTTCTCCAAACCATTTCCGTCAGATCAAACTCTTCTAAAACAAGAAGATGATAACATCATAAAGTAATAGATTAATCACTCTTAAATTAAGATAGACAGTTCACAACCTTTCGCACTTTGAAACTTCACCAATCTTCTCACTTGAAAAATCTTTTTTCCTTTTTCGTTCTAAGCATTCCTAACATCTAAGTAAGATAATAACCAAATAACCAAACACTATCTTAAAGAACATCCATTGAGGCATCAGGCATACAAGCATGATTATGGCAAATTTGTTCTTAATGACTCCCCTCCTCAAAAAGCCACAGGTCAAATTGGATCCTTTACATTCATTTTATAGCCTTAACTTCCTATTCCCTTCAACTCTTGGCTGACTAGACTTGCAGATTTGTTTAGCTGAAGTAAAAATTGCATATTTTAAAGTAACATTGTTTATTAGTATATAATCTATGCTGCAACATTATATACTCTACTAATAACTCAAACATTGGTGATGAAAAGTAAGGAATATTGTACAAAACCAGCCATATGAACCCATTACTAGTCTCAGCCACAAAACCAACCCATATCTATTTTCTTTCTTTCCTTGCAAACTTTGTTAACAAAATTCTTTGAAGCTCATGTCCCGTTGAGTCCATCCATTGAGCTTGGCCAATTTGCAGGCTTGTTCGACAAAAAGCGAATATGTTGACGACCTCTCCCATGGAACCATCCCAAAATCATCAAGGAACTCGGTCATTCCTCCGACTAAGAATTGCCAGACTAGGGCACCTGCTCCTGATCTTCTTTTCTTAGCAGATTTGTAGATTATGTTTAAAATCATTCTGTACATATTTTCTCGGTTGGACAGCGAGAAGTTCTTGATGGTGTCTGATAATCCATATT